CATCCTCATCCTCACCAAAAGCTCTCCGTGCCATATTCCACCAAATGTAGAAAAAAAGGATCTGATTCCTTCATTTCTTTCAGCTGAGAGAAAAGAGTCTTCAATGATGTCAACAGTCTCAAAAAGAGTTGAACAGATTCCCCACGAGATCAGAGAGGAGAGGTGAAATTTGGGGATGCCTGCATCCACACCCATTTCAATCACATCCAAACCTGCAGGAACTGACAGGGCCGGTGCTTTTTGTATTCATAAAGTGTCCAGACGAACACAATTCAATTAAAATGAACTACCAGTTTTAAGTGGGCTAGATCTGATCACAATAATTTACACTCAGGCTTGAAACCCAGTTCTGCTGTCACACATTTGTGCAGGCTCCCAGTAAAATCTTCAAAGCAAGAATATATTTAAGTCCACGATCTTGCCTAGCACCAATTAATCCTGTAACTGCTCCGTGCCTCTGGAAACTGTGTAATCTGCCTGTGCCTCAGTTCCCCCCCTCCCTGTGACACTCCCTGCTCTGTATTAATGCATTAACATCTCCAGATGGAGGTGTGGATATGCTGCAGATCTAAAAACCACCCAGAAACAGAGGTGAGAACAGAATTACCAGGGAGTTCTGGGCTGCTGAGTGCTGCAGGCTCCCCTTAAAAATTCAAGCCTGTGTCAGTAAATCCCATTTCATCACAGAGCTGCTCCCACCCAGCTGTGTCCAGGTGAGGGGAGAGGGGAAGGCCTTGCCATCCTCTCTCCCAGGAAGTGGAACAGGTTCTCTGGCACCTACAGCAGACTGGATTTTATCCACAATTAGTCCCTGCTTAATCAGTGTCTTCAACATGACTTACCAACATGTTGTGGCGGATGTAAAAATATTATTTTAAAGACTGAGATTAAGAGAGCGCAACAAAAATCCTCATTAAAAAGACACTGAGAACATACTCATACACTAACTGAGACTAAACAGAATCTTTCCCTCTCTCTCAAATGTCAAAATATTGCAGAACCAACCCAGAGGAAAATGAAAATACTCAGGGTGAAGCAATCGGAGAGAAAAGTCCAAATGTGCTGTTTAGTCCCAAACCACAGAATCTCTCATGGTACAGGTACCCATGTCAGGGCCCAGCTCAGGAATTATTCCAGATGGGAGCACAGTTCTCTCCCAGGACACTCACCACAAATTCCCACCTGTTTCCACCCCAGAAACATTTCTGGGTCACTCAAAGTTTTAGGAACAAAAATCCAACAACTTCATTTCCCAGAAGGCAACAAAGCCCTATGGTGCTTTTTTATTTTTTTTTTTTAATCTGATTCGCTTTATTCAGGTTTATTTTATTACTGATCACAAACCTTGATGGAACTTCACCACAGCTCTCCAAAGTGTAAATAAGTTAATATTTGCTGTTGGTCCCTCCACTGAGCAAATCCAGCCCCACACACCCTGCAATCTACTTTTACCAAGCCCACTACTTCCTCCATTTCTTGAAATTATCTGCAGCTTATGCTGAGGAATAGAAATGTGAGATTCTGGTATTTTCTTTCAATCCACTGGCAGATGGAGACAAAGCCAAAAATACCCCAAAACCCCACAGAAATGCAGTTTAGATTTCAGGGACCTCCTGAACTCTTGCAAAAGGAAAGCACAGCCACTTGTCCTTAAAGTCCTGCAATTTCCATCAGCTTCTGGCAAAAAACATTCCTCACCTGGGTTTCTGTACATTCTTAACTCATCTCATCAACTATAAAGTGAAAATAACACAATCTGCTATTCAAAAAAGCTGCAGTTCCCAGCTCTTTTTGAAAAGCATGCAGTACTAGTCACTCAAGTGCTCCCAGTTTAGTATTTTAACCAGAATTAGAAGGTAAAAGCTACAGACCTGTACTGAGAAGCTCAGGACCTTTGAGGATTAATAGATTAGATTTAATTCCTTAAAGCCCTTGTTACCTCCTTGTCCCTCAATTATTTGTGGGGTTTTTTTTGGTCGCTCTATCAAGATTTAACACAACAAGCCCCAAACACTGGAACTGTTTAATTCCTGACACTGGATGTGGCTCCACCAATGTTTATGTCACCTCTAGTTTGGCTCTTCCTTGGCCTTGAGGGGATTTTTGCAGACAATTTCAGGAGATCCCCTCCCAGCCTCCCAGCACAGTGAAATGAGAGTGGCAGGCCTGCAATCTGTGCACAGCCACAGCACAGAAACTTGCACCTTGCACTCCTTTTCTATGTAAATAATGCAAGGATCCTGCGGGAACATGCCAGGGATTGGAATTTTTAATTAATGGGTCTCTTTAATGTGCAAATCAGGAGCAGATTGCAAATTCTGACTCGCATTGATTATGAAAAACATTAATTGAACGTGCAAGACCCCAAACAGAGGCAACATCTCAAGGCCTGGACCAGACTGGAAGATGCAGTGCAGGGGAATACAAATCTGTCCTGGAGGAACAGCACCTTGGATTGTGAGCTGGGAGGGTTTGTGTGTGCAGGACATTAAACACTGGACATTTCTGCTGCTTTCAGAGCTCAGCCACTCTGATCTCAGCACTAAAAACCAGCCAGACTCGGGTGTGCAAAACAGGAATGAACATGAGCTCCGTGACCACAGTTTGGTCTCACATCTGTATGTAAAAAGGGCGGCAGAAAAAAAAATCTGGAATATAATTAAAGATTTAGAAAAAGAGGGAAATAAAAAGTAAGACAGCACAAACAAAGCAATGCTGTCTCTTTAAACAGAAATTCATCCTATATAAATTATGGCCATAAACTTTTCCTGCAGTGCAGCCTAATTAATTCTTGTTCTATACACAAAGGGAAATGCTGGGTGACAAATGGGTGTGAAGCCTGAAAGCTGCCAGGTCTGCAAAACATTTTCTACTTCAATTTATAAGCAATTTTGCAGTAAATCATCTACCAGAACCTGAGATCTCAGGAATCTAAGGTTGTCCAAAGCATGTTGTAACATTAAAAAAAAAATCATAAAAGATTACAAAAATAATAAATTAAACATTTTAAGTTTTGTAACCTCCGGTCACAAAATCTGGAAAATGAGCATGACCTTGCCATTTATTTTCACCCAGGTTTGGCTTTAAAACTGCAAATGGATGGAGAATTGCTGTCTACTCTTTAACACAATTACACTCCAGCCCTTAGGGAATTCCAGCACCACAACAGGGCTGTCCTGAGTAGGAGATACCCAAGAGAAAAATACATAAAGGACCTTTTTCCAATTCAAAAAATTCCATCTTTCTCTGAGCACAGAGCAGAAATATCATGATAAATGGAAAGATTTGGAGAAAATTACTGGAAACACTCTTGTCCAGGAGCTCTGAGAGCCTCCTGACTTCAGCAGCCTGCAGGGTTCACCCCGAGTCTGGCATTTTGGCACCTACTCTTTTGTGCTGCTGGAACACCAAATCCTTCCCTCCTGTTCCATGAGGATGACGAAAATGTGCAGATGTATTTTGTGGGTTTGGACAGAAGTGCTGAGGCTGCCCTGAAAGGAGAGCATCATCCAAGCCAAAGCAGTGCCCATGCCATGATGATCCCCAATCCTGGCCGAGGCTGAAGCTCATCACATGCAAGTGTAGCAGCAGTGGTAGAATGTTCCAAAATTCAGCATTTCCCACCTGTCGGCCTGAAATTTCCTCTGTTAACACTGCCCATGTCACTCCAGCTCTTCTCTGTCTCCACAGATGAGCCATGAACACAAACCAAGCTCTGAGGATCATCAGAGTGAACTCCCTGCCCAGCTGGTGAGGAGAGGGGCAGGAGGGGATCATTCAGCACTTCTGAGCAGTGGAGTTTCCCTCAGAGCTCTGCACAACTGAGGGATCAGCCTCTGCAGCACTGGGGACGTTGCACTCCATGCTCTTGGGTGTATTTTGCTTATGGGAAATACCAAAATGTCAACCATTGTTTCTGTTAAAGGTCTTTAATGATATTGCATCTTAGACCTGTAATGAAACATGGAGCTGGGGCAGCTTGTAATGCATCTCATTAAGGACATTAATAACGTGTGTTCCACTGAAAGGTCAGCACAGCATTGGTGGGAGTTTGCCTTTTTGTTCTTAATCACTTCCTTTCAAGCAGCAGAGCCAACTTTAAAGCAGCTCACCTGTAACTGCAGGTAAGCTGGTTGCCCTGCCCTAAGACACAGGATCAAAATTTGCTGCAGGGCCAAGGTTCAAGTGATGTCTGATGGCCCAGACACCTCTCTCCCTGGGCATTCACCTCAGGGCCAGAAAAAAGGTGTCCAAATATAAAAACTAAACAGACCCACACCACACTGAAGCCCAGCACTTTGCACTCACCCACTGCAGCCTGCATGTTATGATTTCATATTGGAGAACCTACTACAGCTCTCATCAGATCAGCGTGATCAGCAGTGATCTCAGGAATGAACAGATGAAGCAGCACCACGCTGGAATTCAGCTGCACAGCCCCTCCT